AGAGAGAGAGAGAGAGAGAGAGAGAGAGAGAGAGAGAGAGAGAGAGAGAGAGAGAGAGAGAGAGAGAGAGAGAGAGAGAGAGAGTCATTGACTGGTGATTGAGAGGAACGGAGAGATTTGTCCATGTCAACGGCGCCACCCACGTCTTTCTTTCCTTTTTGAAGGATCAGTCATACACATTTTGCTGATTCTTTTCTTCGGAAAACCACTGACTGGTTTCGAGTACAAAAAAAAAAAAAAAAAAAAAAAAAAAGACTGCTTTCGAGGACAACCTCAACCCATCCAGACCCTACTTCCAACAGGTCACCTACACAAAACAACAGGCCAAATGTATCGACAGACGCCCCATCGCACTAAAACCGCTTCCTCTACTTGAAGTTCTCTCTCGTCCATGTCCTGAAAGCTGATCAGTTCAAGTTTTAGCTGTATACTAGTTTATAGGTCTTCATCAGCTAACGAAAGACAAACAATGTCATGTCTTCCAGCAAGTTTAACATGCCCAATCTGAACCTCTTGCTCATCAGACATTCCTTGCAGAGCAGGAACTTATGCCACTGCTCCATTGTTTACTTGAACTGCTGCTTCAGTTTCTCCGAAACGATTTTTGAAACCTGCAACACACAGTGTCCAACACACCCACACACACCCACACACAATCAGTTTTATGTGTGTCTTTTTCCCTCTTGTTGCCCGTCTTTCCTGTGTTTTTTCCTTTTTTAGTTGCCCAACTGAGCACCCTCAAGTAGTGCCAAAGAGTCGGTGGTTCCTTGTTTGGAGTGCCTACTGCACTCTTGCGGGGGGCGCTCAGTTCGGGATGTCTGTGTTGCCTGTGGGTGATAACGGATGATCATCGGAGTGATTCCCTAGCTCAATGGGGGGTTGCCCATCTGTTTCTCTTACACTCTTTACTGTCTTTTCCCCGCCCTTAGACGACTCAGATGCGCATTCTCCTCCTGAAATGTTGCGATGGTATATGGTGCATAGTCTTTACCATGCTTGGGCTACTAAAGTATGTGCTCACACACATCATCACACGCACAGGTGCAGTGCTTATGACTAGTGCTCAAAATTTATAACTCTGCAAAAGGAGGCAGAGACTACAATTCCTTTTGAGGCTCTGTGATCTAGACAGTAAAATTCAAGACCCTCAGCCTTAGAGAAATGATTGGGTCAAGATGACACTTACCTTCCTCAAGAAGGTTGTGACAAACACACACACACATGAGTTGGTGAAAGTCGGACGAAACAGTCTGGCACACCCATACTGTATTTTGTGGAGTTGCATGCCGTGTACATGACACCACACACACTCACACACCCAGACATACAGAGAAAACGAACACTCACACACCCAGACATACAGAGAAACGAACACACACACACACACACACACAGACAGAGAGAGAGAGAGAGAGAGAGAGAGAGAGAGAGAGAGAGAGAGAGAGAGAGAGAGAGAGAGAGAGAGAGAGAGAGAGAGAGAGAGAGAGAGAGAGAGAGAGAGAGAGAGAGAGAGAGAGAGAGAGAGAGGCTGCTCGCCCAGTAGAGTCTCTTGAAAACAGTTTTGAAAGTGATTTCAATTTGAGACAAAGTTGCCTCAGAGTGTGTGCATCCGTGTGCTTCTGGTGGGGGAACAACAGCAGTTGCAGCAGTAGTTTGCAATCAATGTGAGGCATACCCAAAATGTTGTGACTTCGGTACTGAGACACATGAGCACTCACTGCTATGTTTTCAATGGATGGCAAATATCCCAGCTAGGATTTCCCGAGATAATAGTCACAGACCATATGTGCTGGTGGGTTCTAGGAGCAGTACTGTAACAGGAAAAGCCACTTGAGACACTGAACAGACAGCACATCATTTTATCATAATAGGATATAGTACTCTTAAACCACCAGTACTTGGCCCAGGCCGCCAGCTATCGATGCTGAGCCAGGAGACCCCCTGCACGCCAAGTTTTGCCATACTGCCGGGGTGCCGTTTCGTTTTCTTTTTGGCTGGCGCTTCTAGCCATTGTGGTCCGTTACCCCGAAGCCTGCAGGTCGCAGCGCGTTAACGTGAAACGCCCGCGGCCAATGTATGGGCCATGTACTGGTGGTTTAAGCTGAGCGGTTTGTCCGCCTGAAACAGGAAATAGGGAAATCGTCAACATACCACATTGAAAGGGATAAAGATCAGAAAAGTACCATTTCAGTTCCGGCCTTGCAAAAAAGACGGTGTGTTTTTTGAAAAGAAGTGAGGCCGGAAACTGAAATTGCAGAAATGTTCAGGTAAAACCGTAAAAGTCCGAGGGGAATATTAGAGCCCATCAGAAAGCGCATCCAGCAGAAAAGTGAGGCAGAAAAGGCAGGGTCAGAGTTCTTTCCAAAGCTACGCCGGACCCAGAGCCGGACCCGGACCTGGACAGCTCATGTCCGGGGACCAGACGGATGTCCGGTCAGGTCCGGACGTCCGGACCTCCGGACATGCAAGGTTTTGTAAGGTCCGGACCGGTAAGCAGGTCCAGAAATGTCCGGACCATTCAAAAAATAAAAATAAAAAAAATCTGAAAAAAACAAATGTTATGCAGAATAACAATGCAAACCACTTTTGCCTCAGACTCATGTCAGAATCCCTAACCAAACTTGAGTTAAAACTTAAAAGTCAAAAACTATAAACAGTTTTTTTCATATTTTTTTATTTTTAATTTTTATTAAAAACATTAAAAAAAACTTTCATTACTTGGGTATTAGTAATAAATTATTAGAGAGATAGACCATGTCCGGACGGCCCAAAAAAACAAAAACGGGCCTGAAAAACCCCCAAAACAATTTTGGGGGCTTGGATCCTCAGTGGGAAAGGCTGGACCGTTTTTTTTTTGTTTTTTTGGGCAGATCTGGACCTTTCGGACCGGACGTCTGGTGTCCGGACTGAATCCAGACCGTCTGGACGGCGGTCCGGATCGTAGCCATGGTTCTTTCTAATTTAGGTAGCTGCCCCGGTCCATTTCTCCTTGTGGGGCTCAGTGTTCCAGCCTTCCAGGACCTCCTTCTTCACCCCTCCTCCCCCTCTCCCTTATTTTCTTCCTCTCTTTCTTCTGCTACTACCGTAGTACTACGTGGAGGCTATTTCTGGATGAATTTGGCCAACCATTTGTGCTAAATTCAGCTCCACTGAGCCCAACGCAGACTTGTGGCCAGATCCATTGAAAAATAGCACTCACTAATGGCAGAGCCCCACCGTTCAGGAAAAGAAAAAAGTTATGGGTCTCAGCCTAACGCTCCCACTTTATTTATTTTTCTTCTGAAGTTAACTCTCTTTCTATATATTTTTTTAATTTACAGTTCTCTGCTGCCATTTGAACTCCTTCTTGAGGCCTTCCTCCCTGCCTTGGTGCACTTCCACCTTGTTTCTCCCCACTAAGTCACCTAGCCTAAGGCGGCGCACATCATTTCCCCGCACCCGTTGGGTGAAACAATCTTTGTGCCGTATTGGCCGGACTGCCTCGGGCCTTGGGTTGTTGGCTCGTGCTGCACGCTCTGTTTCTAGCACGAGCAACACCATGATGGAAGTGGACAGAACAAAAAAAAAGACAAGAAACGACGAAATGAAAATGAAAAATTTCGCGATTCCAGGATTCGGGCTGCACTTTTCTGGTGCCCGCAAACCTAGGTTACCAGAGTCGCCCGGTCTGGACCGCCCAACCGAGTGACCAGGGATAACCTGCCCAAGGGGGTACCTGCCCGGGGTACCTGGGCAACAGCAAAAGGGGGTTAATTTCTTTTCCTGTTTTCTTTGGCAGTGGGACAATTTTGTGCCCAGAGAGCTGTACCCAAATCTGGCCTTTTCTTTGAAGTTGGTGACGTCTCAGGGGTGTGATATAGTTTAATGTTTTCAATTTTTGTTTATTTCCTATTTCAAAATGGTTTTTTGCACTGGTGCTGCCCAGGACCTTGACTGGGACTTTGTCCGGATCTGGCCCGGCCGGGCCACACGGGCCAGTCTGAGACCACCCATGAGGCGCAGCTGGTATCCCAGCCCGAAACACCTTCTTCAGACAACACACGGTCTTTTTTGCAAGGCCGAAACTGAACCGGCACTTTTCTGGAGTTATCCCCACATTGAATTCATGACTTATACTTACCTTGCTCAAGCACCACTCAATTCTCCAATCTATATGCTTCTGAACTTCTGAAGGTTTTTCCTTTCACAATTTCAACACTCTCTCTCTCTCTCTCTCTCTCTCTCTCTCTCTCTCTCTCTCTCTCTCTCT